GCCTTTCCCCTACCTTCAACAACATCAATGTAGCCTCGGTCCTTGCTGCACTGGGGTCAATCATAACAGGGGAGGTGGAGGGGACCACCACCTCTCTGCCCCCATTTTGCCCTGCCATTCTATGCCCACCACTCCCCAACTGCCCATGCACACGCTCCCTTGCACCCTTTTTCCTTGTGCTCCCTATACCATGGCAGAGATGCCACCCTAAGCCCAACCATGCCATCCCTCCCTTTTGCTGCTTCAGCTGCTCCCCCTCTAATCACCCCCAGGATCTTGGAGAGAACTGGCCCCCTCCTATCCCTGCAGCATTAAGATCTCCCATACCAACCATGAATCAATACTTGGTAACTGGGACCTCTGTGGTCCACACGCCTGCATGGACATGAGGCTGTTACTGGCACAGTAGGGCCTTCAGCTTTCCAATGGCACTTACACTAACACCAATCCCTCTACTTGTGCCAAAAACAAAATCCTTACATCCATTGATCACATGACATCCTGGCCCCCTACCCCCATTTGCATGTGGCCCCCATTTGCCTTATTGCTAGCCAATGTTACCTTCGACCCTTGGGGACAACTCAACTGCTCTGATACCAACACCACCTGTGTACTGGCAGCCTACTGGAACCATCCAAGTCACATAGTTCTCTTTATGCGTGAACCCGCAGCCCTTTGGATCCAGTCACCAATGCAACCCACTTCCATGCTGTCACCCTTATAGAGTGGACAGCCTTGTCACAAGCCCCCCGCTTAAAATGGGATTTCAGGGTCACTGCCACTCTCATCTCAGTCATCATCCTTGCATTAGGGTCGGCCACCATTGCTGCAGTGGCTGTCACCCAATCCTCCACTACTGTGGAGACACTTAATGAGGCTGTGTCCAAAACCTCCTCTACCTTTCACACTCAGTCCCTTATCAATCAGCATCTTCACCAAGCAATTAATGTGTTACAACAACAAATTGATCTCTTAAGTGAAGAGGTGGCAATTACCAAAGACATGGCTCTGCTAGCTTGTTACCCTCACTTTAAGTCACTTTGTCTTGCCCCCTATAAAGTACAGAATATTACTGAAGCATGCCTACAACTTGCACACTATATTCATGGCCACTGGAATCAAAAATTTCTTAATTACTCTATATTACTAACCAAATTATTGCTCTAAATTATACCCATGTCCCCATGCTGGACATCAATTCAGGGTTCTTAGAAAAAATCTGTTCTAATCTAAAAGCACTGTTTGACCCGTCTTGGATCGTCACTTGCCTACTCCTGACAGGCATAATTATACTTCTCTTTCTACTTTTTAAATGCCTTGTTCTTCGTTCCCACAGTCAGAAAAAATTCACTTGGTGTATCAGGCCCTCAGAGCAATACACGAAGATGATTTCAACCTGCCCTATGCAGTCCAACAGACTTGGCTTGCACAAATGTACAAGGCCTCCAACAGATAATTCCCCATCTCGACCGATCCCCTGGGATGATACCCCTTGGGGGGCTGGTAGCCAATGACGGGTAAGCTCCTGTTGGGCTGAATCAACCTAAGCCAGGACATGGACGTGTATGCCCATGCTCCAATGACGGGTAAGGTTCATGCCTGAATAGGACAACCTAAGACAGGCACAGTCCATGATCCTGGGGTCATCCTGAGGAGGAGCGACCTACAGGCTCTCGCTGGACAGTCATTTTAAAAGAAAAAGGGTGGAAATGTAGCAGGAGGCCTCCAAAGATGGCGCGGACCCAGAGCCCTGAGATTCAGTGAGAATTCACTTCATTTCTTGGTCCGCAAATAGCCTGCCAAAAGGAGCCAATGCCTCTGTACCCTGCTCGAGAGCCCAGTGACTGCTGACAGACTGCGTGGCACGGACCAATCAGAAAATGATACACTGACTAAAGGAACTTGGGGGTAGAGAAAAGGGAAATATAAGGCCTGCCCCCTCCTGCATTAAATGAGCCTGCAGCACCTGGCCTAGTGCTTGCTTCTACCCGACTCCTGGGGTCTGTGTGTTGACTCTGCGCCTCTTGCCCCCCCCAATCAGCAGGGGACCCGATCCAGATCAGGGTCTCCACAGCTGGCCTGAGGAGAACCCGCGACAGATTCCTTCTTCTCAAACTTGATTGCACCCCCCTCACCTAGGATCATCACAGCTAAACTTGCACACTTCACAAGAAAGGAGGGGTAGAGAGTTAGCCACACCTAGCTGCACCAGCGGGGAGTGACTAAGGGTATAATACAAGCTGAGCAAGCCATGGGGAGGACTTCTCACCATTTTGTGCAGCTGTCTTCTGCCAGACCAGCCAGTGCTCTTAACCACCGAGTCATCTCTCCAGCCCCATAATTTGTCTTCTCAAATGATTGAGCTACTCATATAAGGAATCTTTCTAGGCATCTTTCTTCTGAATATAGTCAAAATTCCTATTTTAAGTCTCTTTTGGAGCTGGCTATCTTGGGCAAATGTGTCTCCTTTGGGCTGTTATCACCAGAATAATATTTAATGATTTTTAATGATCTAGTTCCAAGTACTAGCTTTATATTTTTGTTACCTTCCACTTCTGTTGGGGCTTCTACCTAAGGGGCTTAAATTGTGTCCTGAACCTCTGCCAAGGGGCTGTGTTGCTGCTGCTCCCAGACAGGCCTCATGGATGACCAACCCCTCACCAAGTCTAAGTCATCGGGAGAATAGGGATGCTTATTTGTCTCAAAAAACCTTAATTACTGATTATCATGGGACTTCCCTATTTCAAGTGGCAGGACCTATTTGTTCTGCCTTTTCTAGTAGGTGGGTGTGGAATTGAAGCTATAATTTTGACAATATTTGTAGGTTCAAGTATCTGGCTTCTACATGCTTCCTGTGCAGCTACACCTGTGGATTTACTGGATGAGCTACAGAGTATTTGATTATATTTTCTTCATAATAGTTAGGAAACATACATAATTACATATACAGTTAGGGATATACACACATCTGTATATGTTATTTGTAGGGATGTAAATTTAGCTTTAATTTTGGAAATATTTATGATGAAAACCAGCATTGCTTAGTTGAGACCAATATGGTGGTAAGAACTATAAAACTTAAAAAATATATATTATTTTTATTTTATGCATATGAGTGTATTGCATGCATGCATGTAAGTGCACCCATGTCACTGCATGCTGGTGGAGGTCAGAAGAAGGTGTTGGATCCCTTGGAACTGGAGTTACAGATGGTTGTTAGTTGCCATGCAGGTGCTGGGAATCGAACTCAGGTCCTCTGCAAAAGCAGTCAGTGCTCTTAACCTCTGGGCCATCTCTCCAGCCCCAGAACTGTAGAACTTTTAAAAGGACTTAAAATTGGATTCAAGCACTAGGCATGAAACTTGACTGCAAACCCAACCTTAGAAAGGATGTGGCAGGAGAATCACTGTGAGTTCAGGACTAGCCTGGGCTACACAGCAAGACCTTGTCAGAAAAAAATTTAAAAAATAAAGCATTCTGATCCAAGGTAAAAATGTGATTACAAACAAATCACTTAATTTTCTGAGTCTCAATTTATCTATAAAGTGAGGATAGCAATTATAACCTAATCTACTTGTGTTACAAATAATATTATGTAAATCTTATATTCTATGCATATAATAAATGCTGAAGCTGTTAGCTTTCATAAGCATTACTAAACTGTGGGTGTATTAAGCAAGATACTACACAAAAGTGGTACCTAGTTGATAGTGCTTCAATAAATATCACATTGAATCCAAGATTTAGTATGATTTAGGGTACTTCCAAGTAAGAAATGTTAGATAACATAGCAGATCTCAATTTCAGAAGTGAAACAACAGAAGCAATAAAATGTTTCTCTCCTTTCTTTCTTTCATAAGGAGCTGATAGCCCAGAATCTGAAATTCCCCCTCCCCCTTTTTTCCTCCTACCTGTTAGTTCTCTATTAGCACGTGTACACTTTCTGCATCACATTGAATCCAAGATTTAGTATGATTTAGGGTACTTCCAAGAAAGAAATGTTAGATAACATAGCAGATCTCAATTTCAGAAGTGAAACAAAATTTTTTGTGCTAGATTCAACAGAAGCAATAAAATGTTTCTCTCCTTTCTTTCTTTCTTTCATAAGGAGCTGATAGCCCAGAATCTGAAATTCCCCCTCCCCCTTTTTTCCTCCTACCTGTTAGTTCTCTATTAGCACGTGTACACTTTCTGCTATTGCTATTGTTGAGGTTGAACCCAGGACCTCCTGCATGCTTAGCCAAGTGCTCTACCACTTAGCCAAGTGCTCTACCATCCCCAGCCACTTTTACACTTTGTATTCAATTCCTGTTTACTCATTTTAAAAAAAATATTTATTATTATTTTATGTGTATGCATGTATTGCCTGCATGTAGGTAAGTGCACCCATGTCATGCAATGCCCACAGAGGACAGACTGGGTTGTTGGATCCCCTGGAATTGGAGTTACGGACAGTTGTTAGCTGCCATGTGGGTGCTGGGATTCGAACTTGGGTCTTCTGCAAGAACAGCCAGTGTTCTTAACCACTGAGCCATCTCTCCAGCCCATTTTCTCATCTTAATGTGAATACAACTGCTCAGCACCTTAATACTTTTATACAATGCCAAATCAATACAAAACTAAAGCAAAACCTTCCTCATTACATCAGTCTTCAACCTGCTACTTAGGTAAGTTATTACTCTAGTCAGAGGCTTCAGGTGAAGGAAGAACTAATAGACTGCATAAGAATTTACAAGCTTGATAAGAAACAGAAGGAATTTTTTTACACATTGTCAAAGGTGGTAGAAAGGTCAAACAGAATGAATGGAGAAAAAGAACTGTCCTACAAAATGACTCAAGATCTCATCAGATTCTCAGGGGAACTTTCACACTTATACCTAGAAAACACAAGGTTGCTATCATACTACGCCTATTATTTCAATTAAAAAAAATAAAACCATACAAACACCATAATTTTAGAAAAAAATTAACAGTGAAAAAGAAATTGAACAGTTGCAAGCTCTGGGTTATTCTGTTTATTTCATTGGGCCATTCAGTGAATATTAACTGGGGTACTTAAAAGTTATTTCAATTAGGAACCTCTTTAAACTATCATCAATTATTTCGAGTGTTCTGGTCTCAAATACATCCTTTTCTTCTACAAACTTCCGGAAAAGATGGACACCGCCACCAACACCAAAATAATGTGCTTTGCTGGCCAAAAGCACCCGGCCTTTCTTACCCAACAGTCTAAGGAATGTTTGGTGCAACGTACTATAATAATCTGGATTATAAATGGTTTCAGAAGTGAGAATGAGGTCGTACTTTACAAAGAGCTCTTCACTTCCTATAAGCTTACAAAACTCTGACCACTCCCCAGAGAAGAACCGGCATTTACATATTTCTTGTGCTACAGTTGACGTCCTGCATCTTTTTCCTTCTGGCTCATTGACATCATTCCCATCGTCTTCTGAAGGGAAGTTAGCAATCACATTAGGCAAGGTCACTTCATCAATCACCAAACTGTTATAATCTTGAAAATGGATTTCTCTTGCCCCTCCTTTGAATGCAGTTATACCAAGCAATCCTGATCCACAGCCAAGATCCAACACTTTTTGCCCAGCAAATTTCACTTCTGCCTTTGTGAAATAAGCCAAGAGATCAAAGGTACATTCCCAGATTTTTAAGCCTCCTTCATAAATACCCGGAATTAGATCAGAGTGAGAAGAAAGGCTTTTGGAAACTATGTTTTCTCCAGGGAACTTCTCTTTCAACAAGATGGTTTTCACTACTGCTATGTTAGTATCCCAGACACCTGGCAATATTTCTATGACTTTATTTTCTAAGACTTGCTTTAAATCTTTAGGCAGAGCATGTTCTTTGGCAACTCTCAAAGATGGCTGCTTTTCCCTCCGCTCCAAGTCACCAGAACTGTGGGCCAAACTGCGTTGACTGTCAGTGTCCTGAGCAGGAGCTGCATTTCCCACATTTCCTACAGATGAACATTCCCACAAGCATTCCTGAGGTAAGTCAGCCTGCTCTTCCTCAGAATGCTTTCTGTCCTTCTGATTTCCTTTTTGACTTTTGGAAACTGATGATTCTTTTGAGGAATCGAGGGTCAAAGTTCCATCACCAAGGGGTGTTAATTTATTTTCCAGATGGCCTTCGATACTGAAATTAAACTGAAAGGCCATCCTCTTCTTATACTCACACAATCCTTAAATTCAAAGGAAGATACTTCAATTTCTGGACAGAATTTAATGGCATACAGAAACCTGACTCAAACATTCAATTACTTTGGTTGGGATCTGTTTCTGTTTTGTTGTTTATACAGCATTGGATACTTAAAGATGTTTCCAAAGACTTTTTAGAGGTCTTCCTTTCTTTGTAAATTCAGCCCTGAAGGAAAAAAGAAAATAATTATACCAAAACATCAATTTCACTAAAATGAAATATTAAACAGCTTCCCCTCCCAGTATAGTTTCGTTTTGTTTTTTAATTTTTTATTTAAGTTGTGTAGAGGCTGGGCAGTATGTGATTTAGGAAAATACACACACAGAAACTTGACGGAGTTTCCAGCACTCAGGAGGCAGAAGCAGAAGGCTCTGATCGAGGCCAGCCTGGTCTATATTGCAAGCTCCAGACCATCTGGGGCTGCAGGGAGATCCTGTCTCAAAAAAGACTGGAAAAAGCCGGGTGTGGTGGCACACGCCTTTAATCCCAGCACTTGGGAGGCAGAGGCAGGTGGATCTCTGTGAGTTCGCGATATCAATAACAAACAATCAGAGAAAGAACACATGGAAACACTCCCCTTCACAATAGCTGCGATGCGGGAAAAAAAAAAAAAAAAAAAAAAGACCGGAAAAAAAAAACCAACCCAAACCAAAACACCACTACCACCACCACCAAACCAAACAAAACAAACAAACAAACAAACAAAAAACAATCATTTTCGCCAGAACAAACTATATAAACATAAAACTTTTTAGGGAGGGCAGCCTAACTACTCCGTGTCTTTTAAAAAGCTGTCCTGTGCCCAAGCATATTTCCCCCCCCTTAAGTTCCAGTATGTCTTCATTTCTGTTTGTAAACTGCTTGCTGCCTGCAAAAATAGTTCAAGGTCCTATTGGGGTTAGTGTGACAACTTCTTTAAAAAAATATTTTATTTTTAAATTTTTTGTGTATGAGTGAGTGCACTGGTGCAACGGCTACAGAGGTCAGAAGATGGTGTCGAATTCCCCTGGAACCGGAGTTGAAGACTTGTTAGCCACCGTGTGGGTGCTGGGAATTGAACCCCGCTCTTCTGCAAGAGCAGTAGTGCTCTTAAGCGCTGAGCCAGTTTTCCAGTCGAGGGACAACTCTTTTAAAGCAAGCACAGGCATGGCCTGATGTGCTTACATTCATCCAGACTAGTAGTCCTAAACTTTACGTGACCGGAGCAATGAATAAAGATTAGTTTGGCTTGTGGAGCAGAAAGTAAGAGCATCGCACTAAGCAGAAGGTTGTAGAAAGTAGAGTTTCTTGAAGCATCATCTCTACTGTGCCGGTTTATACCACCTGTTTTAATTTGCACAGTTCTGGCAGGCGAGCGCTTTATTCCCTTTACAGGTGTACAAAGGAAAGCACATGTGCAGTAGGAGCCTTCCTCCTTTCTAACCCACCGCCCCTTGGGGCTGGGAGTCGTTTCGGGCTAAAGGTCCAGGGCACATCTACAGGTACAATCTCAAAGCCCCCCTGTAACTGAAGATAACAAACCTGAGAACTTCAGGCCCCAGCACTCCAAAGCGTCAGGTGTCAGGGTGACGTTCACAGCGACCCACAACGTGGCGACGCTAGGCTGGGACTCGCTCCCGGCCGAAAGCGCGCACCAGTGAGTCCGGTCCTCCAACAGCTAGACAAGCCTCGCCGCGAGGGCAGAAGAACCCAGCTCTCTATGGTTTGAGGGCCGGCGGAGAGCACGCAAGGCCTGCTGGGACGGCCGCACTTCCGGTTTGGAAGTTGGCGGGACGCGTACGAATCTGGCTGTAGGCGAAGCATGTCTCAGGAAGGAGCGGTGGCGGCGAGCGCGGTGGCGCTGGAGGAGTTAAGCCGCTGGCCGCAGGAAGTATGCCGCCGGGAGCTGCCGTCTGTGCTGCCGCGCCTCGTTATATCCTTGGCTGTTTCTTGCCGGGAGAGGGTGGTGAAGGGCGGCACCCCCACGAACCCTTCCTTGTTGGGGCCAGCCGGGGCGTAGGGGAGGCGGGAGAGCTGTGGGAGCAGATCTGAGGCACGCCTGTGCCGACGGTAGTGAGTGGAGGCTTTGGCAGATGATTGGCGTTTCCTTGCATTCCTTTCCTCTGTGTCTGAGTTTTTCTGCACGCGTCGCTTGCTGCCAGGTGTAAATACTGGGAGCCGCCAGGTCTCGACCTACGCTCTCAGGCCAGCTTTAGTGTCTGGATCAAGCATGAGTGGTACTCTCATCAGTATTGAGAGAAATAAAGGTTGTGGGTTATGCTGTGGTCACAAATCTTTAGAAGTTCTTCAAGCAAAAGTTGTCCTCCTCCCAAGCCTTTTCCGTTACCAGAGTTGTGTCAGATACTGGCCTTGATTGGCTGCATTTGAATTGGCGTGTTGTCAGGTGCAAACTATTACTAGTCCTGTGGTGTGTTTGTAAATTGAACTGGAGATCGGCCCCTGTGTGTTAAGAGGTAATTTTACTTTTATCTTTCAGCTCATCTTCCACATACAATTACACACAAAAGACCATCACTTGAGAAAGTAAACGCTGTACAAAGACGGTTTCGAAGTCCCTATAATTATTTCTATTGCACTGAGTCATTGCTTAGGCATTAGCAAAGTCCCACAAGGCACCGAAGCCCGTTTTTGAATCCTTGCGTGAATATGGAATTGCTGCCTTTTTTTTTTTTTTTTTTCCTGTTGAGATGGAGGAGTCTTGCCATGTAGCCTGGTTGACCTGGTACTGGCTACATAAAGCAGACTGACCTTGAATTTGTAGTGTTGTGCTGGCTATAAGTACTCCAGTCTGGAATTGCTGTCTTTAAGGAGTTCCTCTTGAAAGCAGCAATATTCCTACTCAGACACATTTACTGTGTTTGTAATTGCATCCACATTACAAATTGTAATGTGTTTGTAATTTTTTTATTTTGAGGAAATTAAAAAAAAATGCTTTTCTCCCCTCAGTCTTACAGAGGAAACATCACTAAATTTAAAACACTTTCTACTTATTTTGTATTGTAACATACTCAGAAACACTTAGATCTTTCAAGTTTTCTTCATCTGTGTAAACCTTGAATACTTTTTCATACTCAATCAGTATGAAATCAGTTGTTTCTGACTCAATTCTATCTTGGATCAGTCGATCCCCACTGCTGCCATTGTTATGTCATTCCAACCCCTACAACCTGGGCTATTAATATTTTCCCTATTTCGATGCAGAAACATGTAGTCCTGTAGTATCTGCATGCCATTTAAGGCCAATGCCTGACTACATACTAATATCTGTAGTTCATCCTTCAAAGTTTAGAGTGAAGACCCTAGCTCACTTAATTTCCCTTTTCCACCTACTTCTGTAGCTTAATTAAGAATAAAATCCCATCATGGTGACACACGCCTTTAATCTCCACACTCAGGAGGCAAAGGCAGGCAGATCTCTGTGGGATTGAAGCCAGCCTGGCCTACATATTGAGTTCCAGGCCAGCAGGGGCTACAGGGAGACCTTGTCTCAGAAAGACCAAAAAAAGATATAAAAGAATAAAATCCATGCTTGCCTTTAAGATCCCCTATAATTTGAACATGGCCTTTCCCTCACCCCTAGCTCCCTACTCACGGTCCACATATGTATGCAGACATCCTTGAGAATCTTTATTTTCCAGCCTAATTTGCCTCAGCCTTTTCAGCATGAAATTAGGTCTTAGTGTTATTAAAGAGATGTTTTCAGAGTCATCAGTCTTAGGTCACTCCCTGAAAGTCAGCCTACTGTATTTATCATATTTTCTTTCTTACGGTATCGTTTGGTGGTCAACAGAACTTACTTGCCGTCTTCTGCCTCCATTTTTACTCACTGCACTGTCAAGCATAGAGGCAGAAATTTGGCTTGGTTTTTTTCCCCTGCTCTATCCCTAGCACTGAGCATTGTGCCTGGCATATATGGGTTCAATAAAAGACCTAAACAATTTCCTATTTTTTTAAAAAAAGTATTTTCTTTATTATTTTTATTTTATGTGTATGAGTATATTGCCTGCATGTACGTGAGTACACCCGTGTTGTGCAGTGCTGCGGAAGTCAGAAGAGGGCTTTGGATTCCCCTGGAACTGGAGTTCCAGGTTCGTAGCCACCATGTGGGTGCTGGGAATTGAACCCGGGTCCTCTGCAAGAGCAGTCAGTGCTCTTAACCGCTGAGCCATCTCTCCAGCCCCATGATTTCCTATTTTAAAATAGAAGTCTTAGGTTATATTTTACAGCATGTTAGTATTTAATCTTCAGTCTTTCCAACAAATGAGAGGAAAGAGCAGTAGATCCACAATCGTATGGCCTGGCACAATTATTTTTGTATTTTACTTATTGTCCAGTCCTTAACTTGCATGTTTGCGTATCTTAACAATTAATTATGGAATAGCAAGAAGCTTTCTGAGTTTACTGGAGGTTTTCTTACTGGCATATTCTGCCCTTCTGAACTAAAAACTGAGTTTGTGACTATAGCTCACTTTGATTGTGGTTATAAATAGCAAAGTAAGATTTCAGAAGAAGAATCAATTTTTGTACTTTTGTGATGGGGTATCCATTTTTCTTGACATTCTTTAATGATTCTTATTGTACTTACAGTAAAATATTTCTAGATTTCTAGTAATTCTCAGTGATGTACAAGTGTAGTTTATACTGTGGTTTCTATTAACTTTTGAATATATATATATAT